GCCTTTGTTCCTACAGAAGCACATATGATTCAGTAGCTGAAGCAGGTTCAGTGGCCTCAGGAGGGGTTTCAGGAGAGTGTGCAGCTGGAGCCAGCCCTCACAGCCACCCTTGGCTTCATGTGGAATACGGCTGGAAAAACAACATGAAAAAGGGATTTTTTTTTTTTTTAATTTTCATTTTTTTCTTTTGTAAAAGCTTTTAAATGCAACAAACCTACATTTCATCGGGCATTACTGCTTGCAACATAGAGAAAAACACTATTTATAAGTCCACATATAAGTGCATTCCACAAGGCCCACCAAAAGAAGCAGTTAGTGTCATGGTCAGCACAGGACTTACCTGGCGTGTTAGCTGTCCTGCTGTGTCAGAGCTTGGGCAGAGTGCATCTCCTGGGCTGGCAGGGGCTGAGGAATCCTTCACTCGAGTTCTGTTCTGCTCCTGCCTTTTTGTGTCTTCCACAGCCTCTGGGGAGCAATTCCAGCACTTCTCCAGTGTGCTGAGACAAGGGCAAAGCCCCCTAAGCCCCGAGACCCTCCGAGATGTCGGCCCGAAGAGACAGGGATCAGTGACAGCGAGGAACATTCCATCGGTCTGATCATCCCCGGGAGTTTCCATTTGCCTTTGTGCAGATGATTCCCAGGCTTTGCCTAGCTCTGCTCCTGGATTTTGGGATTGGCTGGAAACAGAAGGAAGCTGAGTGAAAATTTCTTTGGTACCAAGAATTAACCCTTTTTTCCCAAGTGACTTCATGTTTTCCTTGTTTCATGAGACTCTTCTTAAACCAGCTGCACTGCACTTCCTTCTCCAGCCTCATCTTCCCCAAAAAGCAACCCCCAACACAGAGACATCATAGCGCTGCTTCCTAAAAACTTCCAAAACTTCCCACTCCTGTTGCTGTTCTTGTCGTGCCAGATTGTCCCTCAGGATTCTTGGCTTGTTTGGTTTTATCTGTATTATGCACATTAGTACCAGGCATGTCTCAAATCCCTCAGCAAACAAGAACAAGCCAAATGCTGCTTTCCAAAACCCAACTTTGCTGGAAGCACAATACTGAGGTGTCCCACCAAGATCTGCTCAAACACCCAAGTGCTGTGACTTTCTGCTCTGGGATGGAGAGGTCCCACAGGGACAACTTCCCTGTGCCTAACCACAAAGGGAGTTTGCCAACGAGCTCTCCCTTCCTCAGCAGCCTGAGGCCTGCACATCCACTTCACTCTTCAGAGCACACTGCTTCCCACGGCTTCTGATGCTTCTGCTCACTGCTGGGAAAGATCAGAACTGGTTCAGTCTTCACATAATTAAAATTAACCCCAATTCTCTTAGAATAGCCTTGTCACAAGGGTAAGGAAGCAAAAGGAAAGGGGAGCTGAAGGGACACCAGAGTGACAGAACACAACCAAAGACCTTTTTGAGGCATCTCTGCCAGAGACCGGCAGTTGAAGGACCCCCAGGTGGCCTTGGCATCCATTGGCAGAGGGGAAAAGGGAATAATGTCATGTGGAGGGGCGAGAGGGGAGAAACATGGGGCAGCTCCAGACCTGCCACATCACAGCCTCAGCAGTGTGCTGCAGGCTGACCTCCAGAGCTGAGCTTACTACACAGCCTGGGTGTTCCTGGGTCTTGCCCAGGCTCTGTACAGCATAAACAACACAGGAGAAGCTGTGGCTGCCCCATCCCTGGAAGTGCCCAAGGCCAGGCTGGACAGGGCTTGGAGGAACCTGGGATATGGGAAAATGTCCCTGCCCAGAGCAGCGCTGGAACTGGATAGTCTCTAAGGTCCCCTCCAACCCAAACCGTTCTGTAATTTTTTTGTCTTTCTGTTTGTGGAACTCATCCAGGAGCAGACCCTCAGTTTGTTTGGGATGCTGAAGCTTTTCTGCAAAACAAGGACATAGACTAATACCAGAGCACCTGAAGGGAAGGAGGGCTACCTGCAGCAGAGACAGGTGTTTAAGCTGCCTCACTGTCCAAACAGAACACAAATGCATTTGATATCATGACAATCAAAATTGTAGGTTTATTTACACGCATTTTCGTATGGCAGTATTTTCAAATGACAGGTATTGCAGAGAAAAATTACTTGAAGAAAATAATTTCCCCTCTAACACTGGTACAATGCTCACTTGGAGAGAAGAAAAGGAGATCTGTTGCACTGCAGTCACTCTCACTGTTAAACTGTGAGTGTGGTGAGAAAGAGAGAGGTGGGCAGTTGGCCACAGGTGTGGCAGGTGAGGCAGGGCTGCACAGGAGTTCACCTCTCCTCCTCCACTCCGAGGACATGGAAAGGTGGAACCTGCTGGCTGGGGAACACTCCTGGTGGGTGAAGGTCCGTGGCTGCCCAGGAGCTGTTGTAACACGGGATGCTCCACACAGGCAGCCAGGGCCAGCTCTGCCAGGACAATCTGCACCTAAAAGTGCTGTGACCACCGCTGAGCCCTTCGAGGGCAGCATGTGTCAGTGCTTTGGTGCTCCTACTCTACCTGCCCTCCACACAAGTGTGCTTCATTTCCAATGGTGCCTGCCTCTCTGGAAGCAGCTCTGCCTGTCAGAGCTTTCCTTTCCCTGGCTAGGGGCCAGTTTCCATCACTGAGGTATGAAAGAGCTTTCCAAAACCACTGGAAACGCCTGGGTGCTACAGGAACTCTTCCTGCCCCATCTGATTCTTTGCAAAACTTTACCAACGCCTCCGTGGTTTTGATGTTGATAAAAGAGTTGCAGGTTTCCTCGCAGGGTGTTTGCCGAGGCCTGACTCCCCTTTTTGCCCCGGACCAGCCCTGTCGAGCTGGGCAGCAGCGGCAGGGGGCTCTGAGATGATCGGGGCAGAGTCTCCCGCGGGTTCCCGGAAGGTGACCCGTCCGGCCGACACTCGGTGGCACTTCCTGACTCGCTGCCCCAGCTGAGGGGCTCCTCAGGTGACACTGGTAGCGCTGCAGGACGCTGGTCATCACCCCTGGAGACGGGCACCCGTAGCTGCTGGCCCAGCAGCGGCTGCTCCGTGCCCGCCCTGCCCCGGCAGTGCCCGCTGCCCCGGGCACGGGCAGGACGCGCTGCTGGAGCTGCTGCAGCGCGGGAGCAGCCGCTGTGCCCGGGGCTGCTCTTCAGCCGTACTCGGGGCTCCCTTGGCCTGTGCCCAGCCACACCAGCAAGTGACTGCTCACCCTGGCCAGCCCAGCAGCCCCTGCCCGCCCGGAGCGCTGGGAGCAGGCTCCAGCCCCGCGCCATGCCTGGGCACACACGGGACAGGGACGGGAACAGAGCGCACAGCCCAAAGCCCAGAGCATCCTCATCCCCGCGCTGCAGGAGGGTAGTGCTTGCTCCTGCTCGTCCCCCTCGGCTGCTCGCTGTGCCCGGGTGAGCAGCAGCGCCCAAAGCCAGCAGGCAGTTTGTCACCTGTGCCTGAGAGGGCGTTCAGCCCTTGGGAAAAACATGGATAAACTGCTGAAGCTCAACGGCAGAGCCTGGCTCCGGTTTATCCTCATGTGAAACCAACACACATTGATGGGGAGTGCTGCAAACCTGGGCAGAAACAAGCTGGCCACATTCCAGATCATATTTTGTCATGCTTAGTAAAGGCATCATTTAAACATCTATTTACTTTGTTTGTGTTTATTTGGTTCCCTTTTAAATAGTTTTGTTTTTTTTTCCCAGCCCCTTTGTATTTTGTGTTCTGTGTTCCTCACTGACACTTCCATGATGAAGTTTCAGGACAATTTCTGCTTTAGAGCTGTCAGATGCCTGCAAGGGCCAGGCTGAAATCAGCACAGGTGCTCTGTACACACACATCTCTGCAATACACCCCTTTATTTCACAATGCCCATGTCCCCTGTACCAAGGGAAACATCAGGTATTTCTTGGTACCTCATGTTAAATTTATCAGATCTTAAATTCATTAGATGTTAAATTCATCAGATCACAACAGATGGGCTCAAAATACCAGTGACACCAGGCCAATTAGCAGATTAAAGGTGTCCATGTTGGATACATCTGTGCTGTACCGATGCTGCTTTTAAACAGAAAAAAAATTAAAAAAAAAAAAAAGGGAAATAATTTGGAATACCTTTACTTCTCTTAGCTGAAACCTAGGGGCATAGGTCTCATCTTCCAATTATTTTCAATTTTCTCTTTTTTTCCAATGCAGGCCATGATCAAGGAGAACACTTCAGAACATGCTTTATTTTAAGATTCTGGATAATTGCTAAGAAATTATAATTTGGGACATAGGAATGCCCTCTTGAATCAAGACCAAAATCTTTTACTCCCAAACATATACACGGTATCCAGCATGAGTTGGTGAATTCAGTTAATAAGGAGGATTTTAATCTTTCAAAGTGTTTTGTGACATTTCATGCAAAGTTCTGCACTGACAATGACTCAACCACATATTTTGCAGCTGTTCATAGAGAACCTCCGTGCCCAAGGGAGAGATCTGGGCTGGGACAGACCAGAAACCCCCAGACCATCTCCAGAGAGGTCCGACCCACCAAACTGCCTCCTTCCCTTCCCACGGAGCCTGGAGAGGTCTGCTCCAGGACACATTTACAAACTCTCCATCCTAGGTCAGTGAGCAGCTCTAGTGCTGATGACAGAGAATAAACAGATTTGGTGTCCCTGTGGTGAAGTCTCTTGGTGGCACAGAACCCAGCACAGATGTAACACTGTGCTTCCCCTGTCCCGGCTGAGGGCACGGATGCCCTTGGAACAGGAAATGCTGCTGAGGGTCCTGTCAGTGGGAGCTGCTGTGCTCCTCTCATGGGTGGCTGCACTTCAGCAGGGCACGAAAACACCTCTGTTCTCACTCAGCCCAACACACTTCACCGGGCTGTTCTGGGATCCATGGCTCTCAGGAACAATTAGTCCCATTATCTGCCCTGTGGCCCACCCCAAAGTCAGCCCATGCCATCGAGTGCCAGAGGGTGGCACAAACGGTGTCACAGCGTGCCTGGGGAGGAAGGTCGGGGTGAGTGGTGTGATCACCAAATCAAAGAGCCAGACAACCATAAACAGACATACATATATAATATGTACAGTGGCCATGGGTGCATGTGCACCATGAAGGAAATCATCACATTTTAGACTGCAGGAAATGATCAAACTCTGGATTTTTTTAGTGACAAGTGTCTCTAACTAGCCAGCAAAAAGAACATGAAATGTCCAAATGTGGGCTGAATGACCTGGTGCAGATGTCAGCTGGGGTATTCTTCCCTTCTCAATTTCAGACACAAAATGCAAGAGCATTCTTTTATTTTCACTACATGCTGTGGACAGAAATTTATCAGTAGTGTTTGGTTTGGTTTCTACTTTTTCTCTCACTCCCCTCAGCTTTTCCAACAGATTCACTAGGACTAAAACACAGAGCTAAGGTACAGCCATTAATTCAGTCAGCAGAAATTTCCAAGCCTCTCGGTAGGAATGACCCAGGCTTTTGGAACAGACTGAGATAACGCAGTGGAAGGAGAGCTCTGAACCCTCCCAAATGCCCTCCATGTGGTGTTCAGTCCATGATCTGTGGTTTTTCACTGTGGAGTACTGCTAAGATATCTCCAAAAAGTGTCTAAGAAAGTTAAACCTGCTACCATTAATCAGAAATTCACCAGTGAGGAGGTTGAACCTCTGTAAGAAAACTACTGGGAGGCGCACAAATTGTTAGAGGAAGAAGTTGTTAGATCTGTTGAAAACCATTGCTCTGGTTACAAAATCAGACTGCCAGTGAGTCTGCACAGCAATTGGATTCAAAATATTTACTGCCAAAATTCAAGGTATGTAGTGATGTGGGCACAGGAACTTCCCTGGGATGCTGCACGCTGGCAAAAATCAGCTGGCCCATATGGAATATTAGAGGACTCCCCAGTATTCCAGCTGCAGGCACCTACAAACACTACATCAGGCTGTATTAATTACTGGCTTGCACTGGAAGCAAAGAAGGAGCTTGGGAAAGACAGGGAGAGGAGGATAATCATCATCAATGATAATATCAGTGGCAGCAGCTGTTTTTTTCCTTGCTCATGTTCCTGATCCCTAAAAGTAAGATGCTGGCTAGAACTGGGCTTTGGAAAGATTGATTATCAAGACTGCCAAAAGAAAAGTGCTCCTGCCACTCCTGTAACAAGGATGGGGCTGCTTGCAATCCAAATGATGGAAAATAAAGAGAGCTGGATGTTGCTGCTGCCAACTCCTCTGGTGCTGTCGGGGTGGGGAGTGCAGAGCACCTTCCCAGCAGTATGAGGGCTGGAGAAGGGGCCACTTCAGGACATGCACATCACAGGGTTGTGTGACAGCCTTGGCCACAGCACATGGCAGCTGCTACAAGATGGCTCCAGCAGCATCTGCACTCCTGGGGTCCTTCAGGCCAATGATGAAACTGTTGGTTCTCCTGGCCCCGTGAACCAGGGACACCACTGGGACTTTATCCACCTGATGGCCCCTGGCCACAAGAAATTCAATATCTTCTTCAGGAAACTCACCTGCAGGGATTTGAAAAGAGGAGTTGGTAACTGAAACCAGTGCTGCCTGTGATGCAAAGGTCTGTCTAACACTGCTGGGGCCTGCAGTGGGAGGAACCTGCCTGCTGCCCCTTTCGAATGTCCAAACTCAAAAATTAGGACCTTGTGAAGTTTCAGATTTAATTCCATTTTAGTTTCAAAGTCTACAGGGCACACTGCAGGACGGATCCTATTTAGATTTTCATCTGAAATGGGGAAGACCAGAAACTTTGGCTATTTAGTGTGGAATGAGAACCAAATTTCACTTATGGTTGGCTCTGGTGAAGTTTGGGGCAGTGTGAAAAACACCAAATAGACCAAGACTTAGAGTAACAAGGACAAGAGCTGACAGTACAGACTGCAGAGTGCCAGCACTGATACTGTGTTTTCAGCACTAGCAAGCTACAGGCTTTTCCACAAACCTTGCCTTTTTTCAAGGTGCTGGAATTAAGGGACATGGACAGAAAAGTGAAGGGACGTAATTCATGTCAGTGGGAATAAAGTGCAGGAAGCTTTGAGCACATGTCTGGGTGAAGTTGAGGCTGCAGTCTTGCTGAGTCAGATATTGTTCATGGCACCTGATCTCCAGAAGGATTTAAGGACAGGACAAGGCCACTGCCAGATGAGCTGCGACAGAGGGAAGGCTGGGCAGAAACACCTGAAAGAGCTTGGACAGGTGGTGCCAGAGGGGTCAGGAAGCATTTCCAGGACAAGAGGGAAAGGACATGGCTCAGCAAAGGCTCCAACCTTTGAAGAAGTTGAAATCTGATTTTTGTGTTCCTCAAAACCCTCCACACCCCTGGGGACACTAGAACATGGTGACCTGTGGTGCTTCCATTGCACTGTGCTAGGGAAATTCTGCTCTTTTCCTAAACTTGCTGGATTTGTGTCCATTTGTGCCCCAGCCAGTGTCCATACTCACTGTCAACCTGCAAGGTGTTGGACTGAAGCTGCGGGTGAAGTCGACCAAGTGACAAACTTTCACTCAGATTCTTGTTAAACGTTAAAACATTTACCAAAACCTGCAAGAGAATAAATTATCTTCAATAATAAAAAAAACCTATGAGAATAGGAGAAGCCAGCTTCCTGAGCACCCCCCAGATTGGTGGCTCCAACATCTGCACATGCAGCAGGCAAAGGAGATTTTGAATAATTTACTAAACTGCATGAACTGCTGCAGAGGTGTGCACACACTAAGAAGTCCTTGGAATGTGGCCTGTATATTGTTGCTTGTAAAGCAGGACATTTTCAGGATAGCATGGGCTTTTTGTCACATAGTTCCTGCAAAATAGCAGAGTTGTGTGTCTGGAACATGATGTAAGCTCTAAAGAAGTGTTTGTTACAGCCAAAAGCTCAGCATGTGACTTCTCCAAACAAAGAACTAGGAAGCAGTTCTTGGCTTTGGTTTTGCTCTGAATAATGCTTTCCAAAAGGTAAGAAAACTGGGAGCCCTTCTCAGGCTTTTCTTTTCAGCAATCCATTACTGCTATACATGCAATCAAGCTATTGGCAAGTACTTCACCTCCTTACAAATCATAAATTAATAGGAACAGCCCAATTTATATTCAGTGTTGAGCTGGAAGAATTCAGTTGGGAATGCCCTAAAAGGAGCTTTTCACGTGGAAAAGGGCTAATAGGCTGCCAGTTTCCTGCAATTCACCAAATAAAAAAATGCTCCTTTTTTTTCTTAATCATCCTTAAGATGAATTTTGAACAGGTATTAGAATGACAAAAGCCATTAAAGATTTTGCCAAAATGCTTCTCCTCTACAGCTATGAGTGGTGCCACTAGGAAAGGTGCAAGAAAAGTAAACTGGTAACCCTTAGAGATTTGAAATAACCCAAGTGTGGAACTGGTGACACCAAAGACTGAACCAGTAACCTCTGGCCACCAGTTTTGACCCAGCCTGGGACAATTAGGAAGGGAAAGGAGGGGACCCTACTCAGCCTTGGGTGAGCAGCTGCTCAGGGAGGACACGGCACCGACCTGGACGATGCCGCTCAGGGCTCTGTCCCCGCTGCTGGCTCCCAGGCACAGGTAGGTGCCACACATCCCCTCGGAGGGCCTCACGATGGTGGGCAGCAGGAAGGACCGCGGCCGCTTCCCAGGCTGAAGGAGGTTTTGCTGCAGTTGAGGAAAAGTTGCACCAAAAAATGTCAACAAGCCAGCTCTCCCACAGAAGGAACATGGAGCTCATCACCTCATTCTGAAGAAGAGGGTTTTACAATGCATAAGGCAGCCCTGGAAGCCAACGGCACAGGTCTGCATTTGTTTCTTTCCAAGACCTGAAGACATTTTTTCCTGCTACTTGTTACTTTTTAACCTGCAGAGCAACACTCATAAGAAACTGCTTAATACAAGTCCACATTGTTACTTAAAAGTGCATCTGGGCTGCAGGGAAAGTAGGTAACAGTGTTGTTTGATAATTCTGCATTGTAATAATAACTGATGGACATGGAGCCCTCTGTTTTCTCACTTTCAGTGGCTCACATAAAGAAAAATAGCAGCTTTCTACACACTGTTTTCTCTGTTATTAACAAAGCATTAAATAGTTCCCCTGTTGTGAAGATGAGAATAAAACTGGAAGAAGAAAAGGTATATAAAGAATTTGTCACGTCATTCATTACCGGCCTGGGAATGGAGTGGTTCATTGTTTTATTTTGCCAGAAGTCCAACATCTGGCTGTTCAGGAGGATTCCAGAGGGTGTTACTATGCCACTGCCAAAGGGACGATTCAAAGAACTGAAAAGAAACACAGGAAATTTAATAAAAATCATCCCAGAGATGTTCGTACATCGGGGCTTTCAAGGCTCCAACTTTCTGTCCCACCTTGTTTTGACAGAGATTCTTTGATGGTTCTTTAGTGCTGGTGAGATTGAGGAGAGACCAGTGCACTTAGGAGCAGGAGACACGTATGCCACAGCAGTCAGTCCCTCCCCGTGTTTGAGGATTCCCCTTGCTGAGATGGATCTGCCTCCATCAGTCCTACATTTGCCACCACCTCTCCCCAGGGAGCAGGTACAGGCCACTGCAGCCATGTTCCATTGTTAGAGGGCTCTAAGACTGCACAGGGCAGAGCAGCACCAGCCCACACATCTCAACCCCACTCTCCCATTCCTCTGCTGCAGGACTGACTGGGACAGAGCAGCCTGGCTGACCTGGGTCTGGTCCCACCCTGTCCTGCTGAACCGACTCCCTCCTCCCTGCTCCCACCCCGAGCTATAGTGGAGGGAAGAGGCCAAGCCTTTACCTCACCACGGCGACAATGAAGTCATCGGGGCCCATGACCAGGACCTGGCTGGCAGCGGCCCCGCTCTCCAGGGGGGAGTGAAGCATGGGCGGGAAGGACTGGGAGTCATTGATCAGCTGGCGCAGGGAATTGGCTTCTGATTTACTTCAGCAAGGAGGGAGGGAAAGAGGAAAGCAAGCTGTGAGCCTGGGGAGCTGGACGTGTCCTGGTGTCTCCACACAGCTAGGGCCGGGGGTCCCCGAGGGGCTGCATGAGGACAGGGGGATGTTTTGGCTCACCCTGAGGAAGGAAGGGGTGACAAGGTGGCTCAGTCTGCACAGAGAGGCACTCAGTCTGCCATGAACCCCCAAAGGCTCTGTCTACCCCCGTTTGCCCTCACCAGGAGTAAACCCACCCCCAATGGCCAAGGTGACAATCCCAGCTGAATGCCAGTCTTCAGCAGGAGGGCAGGTCAGGCCCAGCCCAAACAACAGCCATGGCTCAGCTTGGCTCTGAGGTGGGAAGCTGGGCTGAATCCCCAGGCCTGGCCTCTCCTGCACATCTGGATGTTCTGCAAGGTCCCGAGCCCCCCCGAGGGGGCAGGAAGAGGCAGAAGTGGCACGTGTGGCCATGTCCACAGGGATGGCTGTTTGTCTGACCCACTCAAAGGGAATGTTTAGAGGTGTGCCAAAGTGGGAGGAACCCTCAAGTTCAGGCTGGCTCCAGGAAACCTCTGAGTGAGGACATCCTGTGACCCATCCCCAGAGCCCCGTGCCTGTGATCAGCTGTGGTCCTTGTAAAAGAGTGAGCCCTGGGAGGACACTCAGGGTCTGACCTTTCCTTCATAAAACAGAGGGAGAAAAAGTTCAGGGCACAGCACACCCAAGAACAATATCCAACCCACACATCCTGCAACTGTCACCTGCCTGTCCTCCTCAGACATACCTCACCATGCCTTCTGCTGTGTGAGTGACAGACATGTCACCAGAGGGGTCTCCCAGGTTGCTCGCCAGACTCAGGGCTATTTTTAGTGTCTAAAGAAAGAAAGGAAAGAAAGGAGAAGAGAAGGAGAGGAATAGAGAGGAGAGGAAGAGAGGAGGAAGAGGGGGAGAGGAGAGGAGAGGAGAGGAGAGGAGAGGAGAAAGGAAAAACATTTATGTGGCCCTGGAAATACAACTTCTGATACTCCAAACTAGAAGAGGTATCTAGTGTCCTGGTGTGTTGGCTAAAGCTTATAAAGAAAAATTAGCAGAAGTCTGGGTTCTGGGAATACCTCAGTGCAAAGGGCTGCCACATGTGGGTATGGGAACCAAGGAGTCCAGCATGGCAAACTGTGCTGAAGGAGCCAAGTGAGCCAATCCAGCAGCATTTGTACAACCACAGAATCACAGAATCGTTTGAGCTGGAAAGGACCTTAAAGCTCACCACATTCCATCCCCCTGCCATGGGAAGGGACACCTTTCCATGTTTCTCCAACCTGGTCTTGAGTGCTACCAGGGATGTGGTAGCCACAGCTTCTCTGGGCAACCTCTGCTAGCAGTTCAGCATTCTCACAGGGAAGAATTTCTTCCCTATATCCCATCTAACCCGGCCTTCTGGCAGTGGGAAGTCACAAGTGCAACATCCCTGGCAGGAGCTAATGTCCAGCTCAGTGGTTCAGCCTCATTGCCTGCTGGCACACAGGGTCTCCAGGATGCCATTTACCTTCTCTTTCCATTCCTGAGTGGTCACCACAGCAGAGACCAGGCTGAATCCCAAGGGAGAGGGGATGCCGGGCTTGCTGCTGCCTCTGGACCCCAGCTCTGCTGGCCCACCAGTGTTGAGCAGAAATGAGCTGTTCTGCTCCCCAGCTGGCTGTAAACCATCCAAAGGGCTTGAACAGAAAGCATCAGTCCCAGCACACGTCAGGGAATGACGGTGCAAAAGGAGGAAAAGATCTGGTTTCTCAGACATGCAGAATCCTGCCTGAGCCAATCCATTGAAAATGGGAAGATGCAATTTCAAAGGACATGGTTTATCCAGCCCTGGGACCACAGCATAGCCAGGGCAGAGCCACAAGGAGAAAGAGAGCTGCTCCTCAGCCAAGCCAGCCTTGAGAGAGAAAGGCTGAGCAGAAACACACTCAACATTCAGCTTGCAGGTTGGGCCATGGTCATCCAGGATCCAGAACAGCCCATTCCCTTGCAGGAAGCCAGCGAGGTGTGACTGCTGGTCTGGAAAGTGCCACACAGCAACAGCTTCTCCTTGGTTATCAACTGTGTGGAGAGCAGAACGTGGCAAACCTCTGGAGAAGGCAGCATTTCCATGGAGCAGTGTCTTGACCACCACACCGTGTTGCGGGGACAAGGGCTTGGAGGCCAGGAAACAGCAGAGCATGTCCACCCCAGAGGTTAAGGACCTCTGAACCTTGGTCCTGGTTGTCCCAGGGCTGGATACCTGAAGCTGGCCTAGCACTGAACCTCAGCCACATGTTCAGCTGTGGGACCCTGGCAATCAGGGTTACACATCTCCTGAAGTGACTGCCTTGGAGCTGGAGGTTGCTGCTCCAGGATAACCAGCAGGTGAAACCCTTGGCAGAGGAAATAGATTCACCCAAAGCTTCCTGAAGAGAGCTCAAAAATTACTCAGGTGAGTCAACCTCCTGTGCCTCAGCACAGTGTGTAACGCCTCCAGTTGCTGCATTTTTGCTGAGACACTTCCAAGCACCCATTGTGCACCCATTGTCTGCTACAAGGATGTAGTTAAATCCTCAATTAAAATTCCCAGCTCATAAAGCCCAGCTCTGGATCTGTAAATTCCCAACTCATAAACCCCATCTGTGCATCTGTGGAACATCTAAATTACAACTCTGCTTACAGACAGAACACTTGCTCAACCTCCTGAAATCTGCAATGTTTTGTCAGGACAGTCCCAAATACGGGAAAAATTCTGGGCCTCAGAGATCAGGAGGCGGGCAGAAATGTAAACTTTTTTTTTATTATGAAGTATTGGGTCAGTTTTCTTTGTCATCACCATGTAGAGGCTTTTCTTGCAGCACACTTTGCAGTGCCCTCAGGTGCTCTGCAATGGCCAGGGCCACTGGAGCTACGAGGTGGAGGAACTTGATGGGACCACCCTCAGGTGCTGTGGGATCCTTCTGCAGTGATGACTGTATACAAGAAATGGACAAAGCCACAGTTTGTTCTGAAAATGCTCTTCCTAAGCAGGAAAGATCCTCCTGCTCAGCCTCTGAGACAGCAGCACTGCTCAGTTTTACACTTTAGCAGTCTATTTGCGCATTCTCCTCTGGGAATAGCCGACAAACATTTCTGTACAACCACAAAATAAATAAATCATTCTCTAGCAGCACAAGCAATTCAGCCAAATGTTGAACCTCCTCTTACCTCCACCATCCAGTGCAAGATGTTCCCTCTGGATCCTTGCCTTGTGATGTTAAAGCCCTCGAGGATGTTCAGTGCTGAGATCAGTGCAGGACCTGCATGTGGAGGTGGGGGGGTGAAAACAAGGTGCCCTGTAGAGGGAAGAGAAGAGGAATGAAGCTGCTTTTGTCAGACACCATCCAGTGAGAACACTCGTCCATGAGGACAGGGAAACCCTTCCAGATTCAAGGGGAAATAATAGAAAGCAACATGATTTGAGAAGGGTTTCCCAGATCATCCCTGTTGTATCTTTCTGTTTCTTCATGAAGGATGAAGGAAGCCCAAACAGGAATGCTTTATTGCCTCTGAAATTCAGTTCTCATTGGTTGGCTGTTGTTTTCTAGACTGCAGTAGGGTAGAATGGAGATGGAATCACATAAAACCAGAATGGTTTAGGTTGGAAGGGATCTTAAAAGTCATCCAGTGCCATGGGCAGGGACACCTTCCACTATCCTAAGTTGCTCCAAGCCCCATCCAACCTGGCCTTGGACACTTTCAGGGATGGGGCAACCACAGCTGCTCTGGGCCCTGTGCCAGGGCTTCACCTCCCTCACAGACAGAGATTGCTTCCTAACATCTATTCTAAATCTCTTCTCTTTTAGTCTGAAATCATTACCCTTGTCCTATCACTCTCTGCCCATGCTAAAAGTCACTTTCCCTCATTTTTTATAAACCTCTTTTAGATACTGGAAGGCTACCTAAAAAATTTGCAACATTACAGCTATAAGGAGGGTAAATGCAGGGACTGCTAGAAAAGACTGACATTTTAGAAACTTCTTGCACAAAGTTAGCTTTTTCCCTTCGGGAACTGCCTTTAGCTGTAGGTCCAGCTCCTATTGAGATGTTGCATCAAGATATGACCATGCTGCATCTTTAGACTTTCAAGGGAAAAAACATTTCAAAGAGCTGAAAATCTCCTGAGCCACCCATGATCCATCAGTGTCAGCAGGGAATAGCAGGAAACTCTTTGGAAGGCCTTTCTGCAGACATTTCAGCACAGCTTTGACTTTAACTCTTGCTCAATGCTGTTGCCACCCCTTGCAAGGTGAAGAAAACCTTCCCCTGGAGCTGCATGGAGACGGGTGAGCATGTACCTCGATAGATTGTGTGCACGGGGTCCTCCACAGTGACACTGTAATTGCTGAAATCCTCCTCCACCAAGACTCCTCCGTAGTTGTGGACCTGCATGAGAGCAAGCAGTGCACACTGAGCAGCTTGGGCCAAGGCTCTCTGTGCAACACACCCCTCACTGTCAAACACACTCCATTGAGATTCCTGAGCCAAGTGCCAGGTTCCTTAGGATACCCTGGAAATCTGTGCTTTCACAGCCCTGGTGACCTGGCTCACAGCTCAGCATCGCAGGAAGGCTCTGCACTCCCCTCCAAAAGCTCACCCACCCCAAGGGTGCTCCCAGGTCATTATGTCTGCCCAGGAAGATGGGGACTGGCCCTGCCCTGCAGCCTTCTCTGCCCTGGCTGGCAAACAGGAGTGTGTTAAGGGGTATTGAATACTGCCAAGATTATGGGACCAGGAGACAAGGAACTTGGCTGTAGCAGGTGGCCATCACTAGAAATATCAACTAAAAAATCACTGTTCTCACCCTATTTGAAATTATTTCATCTGACAGTGGGTCTACTGTAGCCTTGGTCTTCCTGTAAGATTCCTGTCAGAGGTACAATGTAGCAGGGTTGGTACAGGAAAGATGGGCCATTCCCTCCACTGCAGGTCCCCTGTGGTTGAGTGATGATGGAGATGAGGGAGGACTATCAGAGCGTGGTGGGGCACTGCCCAGGCTCCCCAGGGAAAGGGCATGGCCCCAAGGCTGCCAGAGCTCCAGGAGTGTTTGGACAATGATCTCAGGGAGAGGGTAGGATTGCTGGGATGCCTGCATGCTCTGATCTCTAACCCAGCTAGCTTCCTTGGCAGGAAAACTCCTCTGCCAAAACGGAATGAATCACTGGAGCAGGACAGCTAATGCAGAGCATGCTGTGGGGCCAGAATGTCAAGCAACCCCAAAGCTGCTAAAGATGTCTCTCCTACTTGGGATCCCTGTTTCCTGCCCAGAAAAAAGGCTGGTTGAACCCCAGGGCTCTACTGAGCCAGGACCTGGCTCCCCAGACCCAGCCAGTGGGGAATGGGGCATAAGGAGCAGAGAAAGGGGAATAAGCCCCAGTCAGCCACACACTGCAGAAATCCCAAATTCCCAAGAGAGCACTATTTTGTACCTGTGCCTGGAAGCAAAGAGTAGGTGTTTTGGAGCTGTTGTTTTCACCAGACGGATGCCCTCCCTGTGCTGGAACAACACTTTGTGAAGGCAGCACTTTGCTCTGCAACCAAAGCTGGAATTGTGCACTGGATCCCAGAGCTTGTCAGGAGGGTCTTTGATGTGGCAACCCTGGGCCTTGCTCCTCTGCAGGGAATTTGTGCTTCCCTGTGGCAGCCCCCAGGTCAGTGGAACATGGTGACAAAGCAGGGTTTAGCTGTGGAGATGCTCACGAGCTTGAGACTCTTCCTGCTCCCCACCCTTCACCTCTGCTATAGTTCAGGTGAAGTGTAGATTTCCAAACACAGAGCCCACAGATGTCTGAGGCTTGAGTGGAATGAACACATTCCAGATTCTAGATGAGCTATTGAAGGAGCATCACTTGAGCCATGGTGGCTCAATAAAATGGTGCCCCGACTGCCCCGACTGCAGCCACACAGATGTAAAAGTTGTTATGGGTTGTTGGGGGCTTTTTTCTTGTCTGTTCTGATATTTTATCCAGTGCACCTCTAACAGGAGTTAAACTAGGGCAACCCCAAATGCGACCAAGCCTTTCTAATCCTCTGCTCACAAGACTCAGTTTATTTTTAAACCATCTTCTTGGAGTTTTTATCCTACAATCCCATTAACCACAACAACTTGTTTCTCAACAGCCTCTTGTTCTGGGGGAAAAGGCTTTGTCACCCAAGTGAACAGAGCCCAGAGCCTAAATTTTTTTTTTTTTTTTCTTCCAGACTGTCCTGGTTATAGAGGAAATGGAGGTTTCACTTCTGTAGACTGGGGAATTGGCCTGTGTGTCACTCCTACCACTGCAGGGACAGGGAAGGAAAAGGAGGCATCTGTCCCCATCGTTGTGCTGGCACTTGGCTTATCTCCAGTTTGTCACCTTAAGCAGGTGGCAGCCCCAGGCCGGCAGGTGCCAGGGGCAGTCCTGGCTCACCTCAGAGATCATCTCCTGGGTCAGGTTCCCGCTGTAGAAGGCTGACACCCCTTCTGCCCCCAGCAGCTGCAGCACGGCTGCCAGGTCCAGGCGCCGGACAAACATCCCAGGCAGCAGGGGCTGCCCATCCGGCAGGAAAATCTCCTGGAATCGCTCAGAATAGTTCAGGTCCTTCAGTTCACTCAGGGCTTTGGCTGCAGGTGAGAAGGGGAAGGACATCCAGAAAAAACAGGGGTCAGGAAGGCACAAAGGACCTGGAGTCACTGTGCACTTGATGGGGATGTTAGAGGCCTGCTGCTGCCTCTGGCCCTATTGCAAAACTAGAGGGGAGTTGGATCATTGGTCCTTTGGAACTGGGAAAGAAACACAAAGAAACCCCAGCACACTTCCCTGCCTGGCCCTGGGCACTGCCCAGTGTGGCTGCTCTGCCCTGGCTCTGCCCAGCCATGGCAAAGGGCTCCCGTTTGGCTGCCACCACGCTGTTCCCTGGCAGACCGTGGCTCACACATTGCTCACCTCCCAACACCATTCAATCTCCATGCCCACAAAGCCCTGATTTCCCATGACTAACCCCCTCCATCCCCAACTACCTTGCACAGTGAACTGCCCTGAGCTGCCCAACAGGTACTCACCCAGGTCATGTGTGACATTAAAGCCATTCTGGGCGACACCAGCTGTGAGGCCCAGCAGCTCAGACCACGGGAGCCTGCCAAGGGAGAGAGGACAAGGAGAAACGGGCCTTGGAGGGGTGCAGTGGGGCAGGTGGTGGGCAGCAAGCACAGGGCTTGGCTCTGCAGTCAGAGGCTCCTGGGAGACCAGGCTGTGTGGCCAGCAGTGGCCAAAAGGAGCACTGAACTTTCAGTGCTTCTCCTTAACAGGATCCTGTCAGTGCTCCAGGATGTGCCCAAGAAGAATGGCAGTGCATGGATGGGGGAAGGGCTGTCTCAGCAGCAAAAGCTCAAGACAGGCTCTGGTCGTGAGCAAGGCATTCAGATCCCTCCATATCCCAACAGAGCACCAAGGACAGGCACACCTCTTAGGATCCAGCTAAAGAGAGAATGAAAATGCACAGACATGCGAGGCCATGTGATGCAGCTCTAACAGAACATTTATTGCACATCTTCTTAGCCAACAGGTCACATTGCAGAAAACACGACCAAGCTGAATTTTTTCTTTTGTACATGAAATAGCAAAAAAATAAACATCTCTTTCAACACAAGCCTCCAAGTACCTCTTAGCTAATGGTTTTGACTGGTGGCTGAGAACATGGTCTGATGGCAAGGGCTCATGTGCTCCCAGCTTCCCACAGGGACCCCAGGGCACAGCCTGTGCCAGCCTCGTGTCTTACCTGCCATGTAACTGGTGTGCCTGGTGCATTCCTAGGATCATGCCTGGCACCCCTACGAGCAGACCTGGCTGTAAAACAGGAAGGACAAAAAGGAAGAGAGTAGTCTCCTTTCCATGAGGACATGGGACATGTCCTCAACTTCAAGGGGAGGTGCAAATCATGTTTACTTTGGAATTATCTGCATATTTAGGAGAAGGGAAAAGTCTGTAGCAACACACTTTACTATGGAAGAAAAGGTTTGGGAAGGAGAGAAGCAAATTCAATCTTGTTCTCAACCCAGTTTGGTCAGGAGAGATAATTCACCAGGACAACCTGGGATTATGCTCCTTCCTGGGGCTCTTGTTCTTCCAGCACCCTGCTGCCACAGAGATGTACCTCTGTACTCCCCAAAGCTCTGCATGCATTTTGGGGCTGATAAAGAAGTGCTTTCTCTAGATTCCCTATGTGTGTAGGGCCCAGGATCTCCTATGATGAGAGAGACCTCTTGCTGCTTTGCTGGGCATCTGCCCCTCAGCCTGAAAGTTGGAGGACGGAGAGCTGGAGACAACAGCCCTGGAGACAATGGCTGTGGGATACTGGTTCTCACCTTAGTGTCCTGCTGCAGGTCCCCTTCCAGTGGGATGCCCAGGGGAGCCACCTCACGGAAGTCGATCACCCAGCTCCTGTTCTTGCGGATGTCGTGGACCAGCATCACCCCGCCCCTGCGGCGAGAAAGGGTCAGGGCGTGGCACCGGCTGCTCCTGCAGCAGCTGCGGCCGTGTAGCTTGGGTGCGCTGAGTGAAGCCAGGGCCGGTCCAGTGACACAAGGGGTTCTGTGCCAGGTCACCAGCCCCAGCGGGGCCACGGGGTGGCCAGAGTAGCAGCAAATGCTGCTGTCCTTCCTTAGGACACACACCAGGACAGCCAAGGTAGGGTTTGTGTGGGACACAGGCAGCCCTAGGCTGAGCCTGGTGAGGCTGGAGCAGTCCCTGCCTGCCTGGTCCTGGAGCCACTGGCTCTGTTCCACCACCAGGTTGGGACCATCTGGGATTTTCTTTCTAATCGGAGCAGTTTTGCAACAAAAAAGGGTGTTTGCTTACAGCAGCAATGGGTGGTGCAGCTGGAGCAGTGATCAGGTGGCTTTGGTTTATGCAACACTGCTAAGCCCTCCTGCAGAGTGAGGAGCACCAGGCTCATGTGGATGCCACCCTGAGGTCTGGGAGAAGGACACCCCTCCCTGGCAACTTCCTGGAGCTGGGCTCTGGACCTCAGCCTCAGGAGCAGAGCTTGTGGAAGGCAGGACTTGGGCTCTGAAAGCACTGGGACTGAGTCCAGGGTGTTTGTAGCTCCTGGCGCAGCACACGTGGGGCTGGGATGCTCCCTGCAGCCACTACAGCAGAAACAATTCCCTGCCTGGGGGTCTCTGTCCTGTGCTGACAGCACAGAGCACAGGAAGGGTCACTGTGACAGATGTGGACACATCCACTGCCTGATGCCAGAGGCCTGGCACCACACCCTGAGCCTGGCACTGCCACGGTGGCATTTCTCAGCTGCAGAGGGACTTTTTACAAGGGCAGATAGTGACAGAACAAGGGGGAATGGCTTTACACTGACAGAGGGCAGGTTTACATCAGGTATTTGGAAGAAATATTCCTCTGTCTAAGGGGGAGGTAGGGGAACCAGGCACTGGTGTAGGCTGCCTCATCCCTGGAAGTGTCCAAGGCCAGGTTGGATGGGGCTTGGAACAACCTGGGATATGGAAGGTGTCCCTGCCCATAGCAGAGGGTGGGACTGCATGGGCTTTAAGGCTTCTCCAACCCAAACCAGTCTGGGATTCTGTGAAACCACTCCCTTGAGGACACCTGAAGACAAGAGCAGAGGGTGAGTGCCCCACACTTACCCTCCCAGCCCCGAGGTGTGGGGGTTGACGATGCCGGCGCAGAGGGCCGAGGCGATGGCCGCGTCCACCGAGGAGCCGTGCCTGGCCAGCACGTGGGTGCCCAGCGCGGTGCAGCGCGCGGCGTCTGTCACCACAGCGCCGCGGTGGAACAGCTGCCAAAAACGAGAGGGCACAGCTGGGCAGTGCTGCTCCTGCCCGCCTCTGCACCCACCGATGTGGCACCTGAGGTCTGGGGCCAGCGCCAGGGCCGTGGCTGATCCAACAAATGCCAGTGGAAACGTCCCTGAGCACATCCTTGCCCCAGGGCAGCTGCAGGTAGCCACGGCCACCAGTTCAGACAGCTTTCCACGCTCTGTGTGCCAGGCTGGGGGGCCACGTCTCCCTCTGCCCCTCATCAGCCCAGAGCTGTCCCTGTGCTGCAGCCAGGCAGTCACCAGGAATGGGGATACAGCTGTAAAGGATGCAGCAGGCCCCCAGGACCACAGCTTGTTCTTGTCCTTGTGCCAGAGCTGTGCTAATGCAGTCACATGATATTTTAAAGAGTTGATTTTCATCCCTATGGCACAAATTGCAGCAACTCAACAAGAACCAGGCTGGCCTGGGGTCATGCAAAGACAGAAGGGTCATGGCAGCACGTGGAGATGGTGATGGTAACTCCTGGCTGACTGTGACCCTGGCAGAAGTTCTGCAGGAGAATCCAACCCTGTGGGCATGCTGCCTTGGCTGTGCAATCTAGCACTGGGCTGTAGGAGAGATTATCAGGAGGTTCACCTCTGTTTTCAGCTACTTCCCTGCTTAGTCCTGGGTGAATCTTCCAGAGGTGAATCTGGGCATGTATGCCCACAATCCACAAAACTCTACAAGTGGACAAGATGCCTACTGTTTAACTAAGGATTACTTCCTGAAAGCACTCCCATCTGGAGTCACAGCAGTGGGGTTGTCTGTTCTCCCCCAGCAGCACCCCCAAACCTGCCTGATACAGCCCCCCACACTCTGGCCATGCAGCAGGCTATGAGAGTCTGGCTTGTCTCTCCAAGCACAACCTCCAGGTGCAGGAAAAGGCTTTCAAGCCAATTTGGGGTGCACCCAGGGGGAAACTGAGCACCCAGGGCCTCACTGACACCAGCCATGGCTCCCCAGTACTCCACTTGCCAAACTGCTGACCAGGAGGAAAGTCGGGGAGCTCTCCCATCTTTGGAGCCAAAGCCCAACCATAAAGCCACTGTTTTGTCTTACCTGAGGGTCCCCAAAATAGATCTGCATGATGAGGGCCACAGTGACACCTGTGGCGAAGGTCAGGCAGGCGGTGATGATGACGGTCAGCCCATCCTGCCGGCAGCTGCAATCTCCTGAGAAGGGGTCCTTGCTGGTCTCCTGCAGAGGGGACACATCCTGGCTTCCCATCTCTGAGGAGGACGAGGGCAGGCGCTGGAGACGCGCAGACTTCAGGAAGGAGTCTGGGTCTTTGTGGGCAACAGGGAGAAAACAGGTGTGAGTTATTGAGCAACTTGGGGCTCTTATTGCAGAGTTTACCCAGCACTAACATTACACTGAGTCCCTTCCAGCATAGCTATCACCTTCCCTATTGATCCCAGCTGTCAGGAGCCTTTCTGGCTCAGATACTGCTTTGAGTCATTTTACTGATCCTTTTCTTTAGCTCTGGTTATTCCAAACTGACTTCCCTGGAGATTGAGAGAGATGAAAAACCCTTGAATTTTTACTCCATTTCAGTCCATTCATCAGCCTTCAGTGACAGGTCCTCCCTTATGCTCCATCTGGAGGGATTCTTAACACAGCAAACAGGTCTTTGAAATGCAGCAGGACTGAAGAAGAGGAAATTAAGATATGAAAAAGATGCAGCAGCTTTACTTGGAGCTGTGATTGAGCTAAAACACCTGAGCAAAGCAGAGGTAAAGCAAAACATTTGGCCTGGGCACAGAAAATCCCTCTAGGGAAGCGAGGGCAGAGAGGAGCAAACCTGCAAACCGGAGGCCTTGGAACATCCGCTCGCTCCTCTGCAGGAAGGACTCTGCTTTAATTCCTTGCTTCCTCTGGCAGATGAGGCCCACTCTGAAATGAAGCCACACACTGGACACCCAGCTCCAAGATGGCAAAGCAGTGGGGCAGGTGTTTGCTGGACCTCAGCAGGATGAAAAAGTCTCGGTTTTGCTCTGAAAGATGCCTTGAATTTCTGTGAGTGTCAGCTGCTGCCCTTTTGCTGGGAGGACACCGGCTAAGCATGCCCTGGCCATCCCGTTGCTGCCAGGCACACGGAGCTGCTGGGGCAGCTGTGAGGTCGTGCCCGTCCCTCATGAAGGGAACCAAGTAGCTCAGGGCATCATCCAGGGCTCCTGGAAGAATTTTTTCAGGGGTTGCAGTACTCTGTGCATCCATAGTGGAAAAAGAGGGGCACCAAGAGGAAGAGATTGTGCCTCCATACAAATGTTTCCTGGGTTTGGAAAGGGAGAAGGGGAGCGAGCAGGAAAGCCCACATCCCCCCATCAACTGCCTGTCTGTCTGGTCTGGCAGGTGCTAGGTATCACTATGGGCACTGCCAGCCCAGTCTTTGTCATGGCATTAACCTGACCTGGCTGCAGCTCTCCTGAAGCCAGGGAGGGAAGGAGTTTTAATTTCAGTGATGTTGCAACCAGGAGTAAACTCCCACAGCCAGGGAATCCTCTCAGGGTGAATTTAATCTCATTTGTGCTGTGGTGGTTTAGGAGTGGGACTGGGAAAGGCTCAGCTTTTGCAGCCTGAGTGTCTGAGCACACAGAGCTCCTCATGGGGCCTGGTCTAAGTGAACTGGACTGAGCAGGAGGACTGGCTGGTGGCCTCAATGGGGACCACAACAGGCCTGGCAGGGGCTGCCATTGGGGTGGGATGTCACATACAGCCTCTGGCACACAAGAGTGAGGCCCCAGCCCCACCTGCAGGGAAACGGTGAGGAGTGAGCTGGACTCCAGGACACCACCCCTCCGCACTGGTGACAGGCCAGCCCAGCATGAGGGGACACGAACACCTAGGAAGCAACTGTAGAAGAGGGCAGACCACAGCCCTCCCACCATGAAGCACCTCCCCATTCTCTGCCTCAGACATCCTATTTTTAGTCTCTGTGACCACTGGTGTTGCACAGGGGCGCCAGAGCCGCGGTGTGGGGACGGGAGCAGCTGGAAGGGGTCACATGGGAGCAGAAGCAGCCTGCACAGCCAAAGCACAGCTGCCCATCCTAACACCAATGTGCATGCTTTGAAAAAGAAGCCACCAAATCCCACTTGGCTTCCGTGGGGCTGTGAAGGAGTCACGGCTTTATGGAGGAGCCAATGCTTTGGAGAACTAGGGCCACCTGAAGTCTGGAGCTGCTGCAGAGGAGACAGCAGAGACTGGAGCTGTTGGTGGGCTCTGCAGGTGCTCCTGCAACAAGTGTGAGGAGAGCAGCAGCTCTCTTCTCCAGCCACCTCACCTGCAGGTGTTGGCACTGCCAAAACTGCACCAGATTCTGGCTGTGTGACAAGAGACCGCATGCTTCCAGGAGAGCTGCTCCCACACTGCTGCAGGCAGCGGCTTTGCCTCGACAGTCAGGAGAGCACAGGGTGGGAACAGGCAATGGGAGCTTCACCCGTGGGCATGATGGGACAGGGCAGAGGATAAGGGGAGCCTGGGGCTGTGCAAACATGGGCTTGGGGGCTGACAGGCACCTGGACTGGGAACCAGCCCCAGGGGGAAGGGCAATACCGCTTGAAGACACAACATGAGGGAGAAACAGCATTTCTCTCAGCTACAGAGGAGAAAACAATCAGTTAAATATAGGCAGAGGATTTTCTCACAGATCAAACGATCACCTGACTTCATTCCAGCTGAGCACCGGAGGGATGAAGCATCCCCGACTGAGGGATGTGCAAAGAGCACCCCACGGTGGGGGGATGCTCAAGGAGCATCGCAGGTGGAGGGATGCTCAAGGAGCATGCAAGGAGGCCATGCACAAATGATCCAGGCTGGAAGGCCAAGCTGGCTGTGGGAGAGCAAATTCCAGGCTGCCCTGGGAAGCTCTATGCCGAACCCCCGGATCTCTGGCTGCCTTCCGTCCCTCAGGGTGAAGGCGGGGCCGGAGCGCAGGGACGGCGGGAGCCGGGGAGCCCCGCTCCGGGCGCGGGGCCGGGGCCGGGGGTGCCGGGGGCCGCGGGCGGGCTCTGCCGCCGCCCCTCACCCGTGTCCTGCTCGCCCAGGAACGCGTCCTCCTCCTTGCGGGCGCGGAGGCCGCTCTCGGCCGCGCCGCTCGGCTCCTCCTCGGGCAGCCGCGGAAAGCTGGTGATGCTCATGTAGTCCACGGGCGAGCCGGCGGCCAGGGCCCGCTGCCGGCCCGGCACCGCCTCCGGCACTGCCATCGCCGGATCACCCCGAACCGGGTCACGCCGAGCCGGGACCCACAGCCGCCCGGGCCGGGCCGGGCCGGGCCCACCGCTCCCGGTCAAACGGAGCCGCCCCGCGCCGGCCGGGCGGAGCCGCCGGAAGGGGCCGGGCTCAGGGGCGGCTCCTCCCCGGTGCTGGGGGCGCTCCGGGCCGCTCCGGCAGGCGGGTTTGTCCGGGGTACCGCCGCGGCAGCCAGCACCGGCCGGCGGGGTCGGGCGCGGCTCGGGACGGAGGGCCCGGGCCTCGCTCCAGCCGGGGCTGCTCCATGGCCCGAGGTCCCCTTCGCCCCTGGCCCACACAGGGAGATCAGCCCCGGCCACACCGCACCAGGCGGGTTCCGGGCCAAGCCTCCGGGGAGCTGGATCCGAGATTCCTCCGTCCGCCTCCAGAAGGCTGGAAGAGTTTTCCAGGGGATGTGCATGCACATTATGTCGCTGCCACAGCCAGCCCGTAGCAGGGGGCTCACATGTCACCCTTGTCACGGGGCAAGGGGGCACCATCAGCAAGAGATGCCGTGACATTTCCCCAGAGCGGCCGGGTGTTTGCTCTCCTACAGCCTTCCTTCCATCGCTGGCTGCTCGTGCGTGTGGCCCTCTGGGATGAGAGCTGGACACCGAGGTTCCCTCCACAGCACAGGGGGTTTGGGTTGCCGTTTGCAGGTGCACCTGGCCAGGCTGACCTGGCACTGGTGGCTCCCTGCTCCTGGCTCCAGCAGCACCGGCACAAGTGTCAGGAGGGGCTGAGGCTGCTGGGCAGCACAGGGAGCCAGCACAAAGGCGGGGGGAGCTCAAATGGGGGCACAGGACCAGCTGTGCCTGGGGCAGGCCTGAGCTGTGGTTACCAACAGCTCTCATTTGGCAAAGAGTTGTGGTGGACTTAAATGCATTAGGGGCCTGGTGTTTCTGAGATCAAATTGGCTGAAACATTTAAATTTTCCCCTACACTTCTTCCAGAGATAGACCTAAAAACCACCAGTAAAATAACTGTAAGATGGAAGATGTTGTTTCTCTCCATGGTCCAAGTTTGTGAAAATTCCTTATCCCTGCAGCAACACTGGCCTCTCTGGACTTGGCACACAAATTTGTCTCTTTGGCTGCCAGATCTGAAAAATCCACCTACTGCCCCAATGTATCCTGGACATCTGTTGTTTTGGGAAGCAGAGCATGTGGAGTGCTGTTTGGATCTGGGGAGGTCACCTGACAGGTACATGTCCTACTTTCTCATCCTCCAATGAGCCAGCTAATCCCCTGCATGAGCAGCTCCACTGGGTCAGTGCTCCTCAACACAGGAACTTGTAAATCTTCCTTTGCTGAGGCACTGGCAAGGTTTTGGTCGTGCCTCCAGCAGCCCGAGGGCATCATGACCAATGCCAGCTATAGTAAATAAATAAATAGGAATAGGGACAGGAGTAGGATAGTTTGGCTTTTGCAAACCAAAGTCTCAGCCTGCTCCACTTTCAGGCATCTGTCCAGTCTCCCCATCCCCAGCAGGTGTAAGGGTTTCTTCCCCAGCATTGCATTTTCAACAAGGCCAGGAGCTATGTCCATACTGCATCCTCTTCCACCCACTGCCTGGCAGAGGATCAACCCACCGACCCCGCCTCTGCCTCTCTGGTGTTTAAGACAAACCCAAACCAACTGGCTGCAGCAGGAGCAGCCACCTCAGCCCCTCTGGCCAGTGACGTGCCACCACCCTCGGTCATGTCACGGCTGGCTCCAGCCTGACCGGCCCCTGGGGATGTGGTGGGGCAGAAGGTCAGAGCCGCGGTAAGGGAAGGTTAATGTGGCTCTGTCCTACCGCAGATCACATCCCACAGGCTCTGGAAGGAGCCACGCTGGGGGGCAGTGGAGTCGCTCCTCAGAGCTGCAGGTCAGCAGTCGGGGACTCTCCCCGAGGGTCAGCACGAAGCTCCTCGAGGCCGAGAGCCCTCAGCTCCTTGCATTGGGATTGTGCATTCCAGGGGACCCTTCTGAAATCTTGAGAATTCATACAGTCAGGCTGTTCCAATTCTACTTCACAGCACAAATCTGTTTTCATATGTTGGCTGAGGTTTAATTGGTTTATCTAGTTTAATTGATTTATAAAAGAAGTTTATTTTAATATATTGTGTCAATGTTACAAGCTTCGTGATACCTGTGGGCAGCTGAAAGCCAACAGCTGTGAGCACAGTCTTTGCAAGCTTGGAAATCGACCTGGGGAACTGCAGAGATGGTGACACCCCATGAAGAGGACAGAGGCTCCTTGCAGGGTGCTGCCACCCCAACAGGCACTGCTCGGTGCCAGGTCTAGCTGGGCCCTGACAGCTGGGATTGGCAAGACTTGAGATGCCTGGGTGCACAGCCACCCTCCAACACCCCTTGGCACACACCCCAGTCTTCTCCCTTTAACTCCCATAGTAACTTGCACTAATTTCAGCACACTATGTGCCTGGAGGCCAAGGACACCAGAAACTCCTTTACCAGTTCCACCACACAAAACACTTGCTGCTCACCTCTCAGCAAGGTTAGGCCAGGGGATCTCTCTCCCTCCTGCCAGGGACTGGCTACTCTTTGCTGAAAGCCAAGGTGATGTTCTGCAGGTCTGCAGCTTAGCAGGGAGCTGCACTGTGGGCAGTGCAGCCTCCATGTCAGCTCCACGAGGATACAGCTGCTGCTGGAACTGTACCCCAGCAGCTGGGGCTCCCACAGCCCAGCTCTCCAGTGCAGGAAGGACATTCTTCTCCCCGAGCTGAGGTGCTACTGACCCCCATCACCACTGGCTCTTTCCCACCAAGGAGTGCAGAGTAAGCTTGTTGTGCCAGTGCAGAACTGTGAGGGCAGGGGTGCTGCCCAAGCCCTGCTCTCCCACAGCATTCCCTGCTCCTGTCAGCCACTGCTCTCCTGTCCTCCCAGCACCAAACCATGCTCTCTGCTAGACCATTCCTGTGTCAACCTGTCAAATCTCTGCAAGTGCTCCCTGTATTTACAGTTCTCATTGTTTGCAAGAAGCTCAGCTCCCTTCTGCTGGCTGCCACATTGCCTTGAGCTTAAAATTAACTCCCTCCTTCATGAGCAGGCACCAAAGATTTAGTTCTCCTGCTGACCAGCACAGGGGATACCAGCTTCTAGGCCCTGAGGTACCCCTTAAAACAGGAACCTGAAGAGCGAAAAACCTGCAGCTGGGCAACAGGTGCAGGCTCTTTAACCTGAGCCTTAAAGATATCAGAGGCCAATGTCTGTTCATGGCCATGATCCTCCTCAGCTCAGGTTCAGCTTCCAGCCACTGGAACTGCACTGAACTGTCCAAGGAACTGAGCTTGTGGGAGCACAGGCAAGCAAGGAATAGAGCAAAGGGTCAGGGAAGCAGCTGTGCACTCTCTCTGCACATGGTGCAGCACTGCTCCAGGTCCTGCTCCAGACCACAACTGAGCACTCTGGAGAAGCACTGGCTCAGTGTCTCACAGGGCAGGGACAGTCACTAAAGGAGCAGAACAGCTTGAACAGGCAACACAGCTCAGCCTGTTTAGCTGAAGCATGGATCTAAGCATTAGCTACCACTGCAAATGCTTCTCAAAGTGCAGCACAAGAAACCCAAGAATCTCAAAAACTTAACCAAAAAATCCAATACTCAAAGGAATCCCACACTCCCACCATTTTACAAAACATCAAAGACCAGAGGACACAGAAGCTGCACAGTGGATTATTCAGGCAACATTTATTGGAGCATTTCAAGTATACAATGGTTTTACTAATGGCTGTAAGCAGCTAAGATGCAGACAGATGCCAGCAGGAAAGGGTGACCTAGAACTAGCAGGCTATGCAATTCTCATGGGAAGTTAATGATTTCAGCTGATAGGAAAGGAAGATAAAGTAGCAGACTAAAAGTTTGGGGATGGGGAGGAGAAAATAAAGAAGTTTTTTTGAGATAATTTACTTAAATTGGCCACTCACAAGTAGCAGAAGCTGTCTGCTATTGCACTCTTCCCTTGGCATCCCAAGGACCTAAAATAACCAGGGCTGTTTCTTCGCCAAGAACTGACAGATTTTCCCTGGTAAGAATGGAGGCTCGCCCTGGCTCAGCACTCGGAGATTGAGATCCCTGGCTTTGCACTCCCAGTGAGAGCCAGGCTGTGGCACTTCCACCAGAGAGGAGGCAATGCAGGCTTGCAGCAAGAGCACACTAAACTACCAACCCCTCACTATAAGGCAGCATTAGGTCAGGACTCTTTTTGGGTGCCTGAGCTGTTTAGAGAAGCAAGGACCACATGGCAACAAGACTACAAGGTCCTGTGACAATAACAAGGACTGTGCGTGTTTCCCAAGAACTATTTCTGAAAGACACGTTCTTAAAAAATACCTTAAAGCAGAGACTCCCCATTGATGCACAAAAAGGGCATGACTAGGGAGGGACTGAGCTATGAAGTGATCAAGTACCTCCCAAACCACAGGTTGTGTACTCTGCCCAGTTTGCAAGCTGGTACTTTTGCATTTAAGATAATAGCTGCCTCAATTGTGTTTTAGTGTCCTGCATTTATGAACAAAGAACAGTTGAATTCAAGAGCTTAAAACCAATTTGAAACACTAACATTTAACAGGGTATCTCCAGAATGACTCCTTCGAGAATACGAAGCTCTGAGGTATGTGATGGCAACTTGGTAGTCAGGCTGGAAGAGTGCAGTGGAGCTTCTAAGCCTCCTGAATACATCTTGGTTTACCAAATGAATCAGTTCTTACTGCCAAAATCACTTAAAAATTTGTCTTCAGCAAAAAGCATTTAAAAAATCTGATCAACAACTGATTTGCAAGTAAAACAAAAAAAATATTAGAAATGGTAACAACACAGTCTGTTTAATCAAATCAGATCTGGTTACTACAAAAACATGCTAAGGACAGCCACCAGCTTGTGTCCTGGGTGCTGCTGTGCCTTCTGCCCACATACCTACAGCTGCTTTTGAAACACTGTTTGTCTAAAGGACAACCATGGAAGACAAGTCAGGGTTTAATGACAGGTTTCAAACAGAAGGGCATACACACATGAAATTAACAGATTCAACCTTCGGCACACAGGAGTTTGGTAAGAGTTACTGGCTAGAGTCACAGAAAGTTCCAAATTTGAACAGTCTTGAACCGCTTCCAAAAATTCCAATGGCTTTTTAATAGTTCCAATAATTCACGGGTATATAAAACTGAGACAGGCTTCTCCAGCAGAAGAGTTGGGGTTCTTCCAGGCTACCCAGACCACTGGTACAGGGGAGAGCTGGTATGACTTCCCCACTTTGCCACCAGTCCACTAAAGACTAGGATTTATTAAAACCTTCTCTATTTATTGACGACTGATTTAACAGGCAAATGCTGCAGAGTGTGTCAATCATAGTGGATGGCAGTATAGAAGATAATCCAAACCACCTGTGGGGAGGAAAGGAGGGGAAGATTATTTGGGGATGCCTCTGGAGAGGTGTCAGACACAGCAAACGAGCCTCAGGCCTTGCTCTCAACAGGGGACTGAGTTCCAGCTTTGAGGTGATCTTGGAGAGATCTTAGGGTCACCACTTG